CCATGTGGGTTTCTCCCTGGCAGTCCGGGGATCAAACTCGTGCTGCAGAAGCTGCGGATCACCTCACAATGCGCTGCTCAACATGTTGCCCGAGATTTCACATTTTAATGAAATTGTTTTTTAGACATTTGTGCTTTTGGCATATTGCTTAAGTAATTCTTGCTTACATTGGGTTCATAAAGAATATTTTCCTATAGGGACAGAGATGGCCTACAAAACCTGAAACATTTACTTTCTGTCCCTTTACAGAAAAAATTTGTTGGTGTTTGGTCTAAAGAATTCCTTAATTGAGAATTTTTGGCTTTTTCCTTGTACAACATAATGTTACTCTTGTTGGAAGACAGTTGATTTAAATGTTGACCAATAATAAATTAAAATAGTTTTTATAAATTTTATAGTTAATCCTTAGGAATATATTGTAATTATATTATTAGAATAATGCACTTAGAGAACAAAACAGTTTCTTAATTCAGGAATGAAATTGGTATTGATAACCTTCAAAACTACATTTTCTAGAACAACTAAGGAATGAAGTACTCAATCAATGAGCTAAGGTGACCCTTGTCATTGTTTTATATTTGCCTTAATGTGTCAAGAAATTCTAATGTTTTTTGAGTGAATGAATGATTGAATGAATGAGATAGTACATGAAAAGTGCTTAGCGCAGGGACAGCTTTAGTAAATGATGGTCATTATTTAAATAATGAATACATCATTATCTATCACTCACAGTAAAAGTGGCCCAAATATTAGCATAACAAATTTCTTTTTGGTCTTGAAAAACAACTTATTCTGTACTTTTTCTTTTAAAAGTAACCTTTTTATCTTGAAGGGTCTTTCTGATATGTGAAAAGCTCCAAGTGAGGACATCATGTAAGCACGTCATAAGTAAAATATGGTACATGGGTACAGTACTTTGTTTAGAGACATAAGTCACAGTCTATTAATTAAAAAAAATTAAGTTTTCCAAAAATTAACCAAGATGTAAGAAAATAAATTTAAAAAAATTGTATTATGTCAAAACACCATGCTCAATGAATGAGCTATATAAAAAAAGTAAGACAGTTTCTGTCCTCAAGGACTTTGCAGTGTGGTTGAAAGATGCATGCATGCCTATATAGAAAGTCATGGGGAGGTACACCATTGTGTTATTGTCTAATAGTTTTCCCTTTATTTCATACAAATAAGCTTTTTTTAGTCTCTTTTCCTCTATTTCTTAAAATTTTCATATTAAATATATGCTGTATGCCTGCTTTTAGAATTCAGTTCAAAGCCTCCTTTTTGAGAGCTCACCTGATTTATGAAAAAGCAAAATAACTTCTCTAGCAATGAAATAGTTCCTAGGTTGTTTTTTTTCACTTTTAAACATATTTAATCAACATGCTCTTTTATATGTTTCAAGTATTTAGGCATAGTAATTTTTTTGTTGATGTGGGGAAAGTTTGGAGAAATTTAAGAAACTTTAGAGGTTAATGTTGCACTATCTTAATCTGCTTGAACTTCTAATTATAGCTTTGTGAAAGGAATAGTGGCAAGAACTCAGCAGTTGGTCTTTCTTTTGAGACCCAATCTTATCATCTGTCTTCATCCTTTCAAAAAAGTTAGATTGATGTCTACATAGTAGGACAAGAGAGGGAATAGATACAAATTATTAAAGACTCAAGAAAATTTTCTTAAAATCCTTGGTTGTTGACCTTCTTAGAGCAGTTTTAGTATTGTAGATTTGAAGTATATTTTTAAACTTTGACTCCTGCATAAGGAAATAATACAGCTGTCAACCCACATGTATACCTGTGTTTCTCTTTAAATGATCATCAATTTTTGCTCTTATTTGGATTTAGTTTTCTTGCCTTTTGTTAACATAAAAGGACTCTAGACACTTTTTGCTATGACAGAAGAAGCCACCTCTTGGTTCTACTGCCACTCAATAAGCCACTTATAAATCTTAGAGATTATAGGTTTGGGAAAACCCATGCATGTGTTTTATTTTACTTAACATTCAGATATATTGGGTGAGAGTTACTGCTTTTAAGTTCTTCAGTTTTTTAATACAGTCTCTGTGAATTTAAAGAGTTAAAGCAAAAAGGAAATATTTCTGAGAAGATAAACGTGGTCATTTGTTAATAGAAATATACAACAAAAGGTGAAAATTATTTGATTTTTGTTCCTGGTATTTCAGATCCCCTAGATCAAAGGGTTTTTTCAAAGAGAGGCCATAAGGTATTGGCCTACTAATTGGATTACAGGCTATTATGATTTCCCATCATTGCTGTTTATAGGTTTCTTTCTCCACTTTTCTTATAGCATTGAAAGTTGCTGGGTTTGATGCAGATATTCTCTTGTTATTGTCTTTTTGAAATTACCGTTCTATTGCCATATTCACTTTTTTTTTCTATTTTCAAATAGGATTTTGTCAAGTCCTTTAAATAGACGTTTCAATAGATGATCACTTCTGAAGAAATAATTCTGCTTTAATATTGCAGAGGAACAGAATCAACTTTCTTTCTTAATTTCCATCTTCTACTCTACTTGCACACTATCTACTGAAAAACCATCTTCTTGAGGAGTCAGCCTCAAATTCCTATATGTTATAATTAATTAGGAGCAATTTAAACCAAAAACAAAAGCATGTTTTAATACAAAAATAGTAATGGTTTATAATTTTCTCAGTTTATGGAGTGAAAAACTTCAAGATACCTAAAAACTTTAAGGTGCCTAAATAAAGCTAATCTAGTGGAGAAGTTTTATAAAACTACCCAATATTTTACTTTTGTTATTATTAGTACAACTACTAGCATAGCATTTTAAGACAAGCAGATCATCTTTTAAAATGATTAGTAACAAATTTGCCCCTTTTAAAATTTAAGAATCTTGAATTCAAGACAACCAGATATAGAACTATACACTAATGTAACGTTTTTACTTAAAATAATTATTTGGAAAAAACATATACACACATACATGTACTTGAGGTCTTCAGGTTATATACTAAATTACTTGTGGTGGGGAATTGATTCATGTTTATTGGAATTTTTTGGTTAGGAAAAAGTGGAATTAAAATAAAAGGAGCAAGTGATAAAGCGTAAGTGGATTTAATGTTGAGAAGTGTTACATCAAGAAGTAGTTCTATAAGCCTTGAGAAAAGACCACTTTATTAATTACTTTTATGCTTGGTATAACACAACTATATAGTATATAACAATGCATTTGCCTTAACGTTCTTGTATTGAGAATGAATTTAACTGAGTCATAGAGAAGAAAAACAGTATAATTAAGTGAAAACATGTAAGAAAAAGTAAACTGATTCTAATATCTAGGATTACTTTAATTCTTTTATTATATTTGATTAATTAATGTGATCATTGCAAAGCCCAGAAAAAGAATCAGTAATATCATCATATAATTTGTATTCCTTTCTGTGTGACCATAAATTGTTAGATATTGCAACATATGTAACATAAACCACATGTCAGCTGTTTCCTGCCTCACTGTTGACAAGAGCCCCATTCATAACTCTTCTTTTTATCCCTTCAGTGAATAAGTAATTATTCAATATAGAAGGCAGGATATTTGGAACTGGCTATTTAATGTGGCAGTACTCTGTAATGAAATCTGCTGTTACTGGCAACTTGAGAGGGGAATGTAACAATTCCAGCATGGCGGTAACTTTATCTGCTTTGACTGTTTATTTGGCACATCAGTGAACCTTTTATCCCAGTGAGTGACAGCTCCAGAAGGGTCACATTTACATCCATTCTATCATGTATTGTAATATTTAATGGCGGACAAGGTTGAGCGAGACTAGGAGTAATTTGAACTTGCTTTTCCACTGAGTTGAGGCTAAAAGACAGCTTGATCCTCAGTATTGTGGTGTAACATGCTATGACTTAGCATTTGTTTATGAAGGCTAATCTTACTGATTATAATTTAAAAAAAAAACTTCAGTTAAATGGTGTATTTGTTCAACTAAACTAAAACTCTACAGTATAAATTCTCTTATTAAACTGTGCTATTTAGCTTTTACCCCCAACAGTGACGACGTCTATAAACTGACCATTTCTCTTAAATGAGTCTGCATTCTGTGTCATTTGGGCAGTAATTGAAGTTAAGAAAGGGTTTGTTACTAAGAACCCATTGATTCTAATGTATAGCATTACATTTTTTAATTTTTGAGTTTAGAAATAGAAAGATTAGGTAAATAGTAAACTATATTCCTGATGTCCCCTATGATGTGTTTAAGAAGACATATATATATATATATATATATATATATATATATATATACACTTAACCACTATTTCAATTATCAAACAATTGCAAATGAAATTGTCCAGGGAAAGCTGTCTGGAATGACAGTTTCATTGATAGATTTGCATTCCATGACTGGTAATTGAATTTCTGATATACTTGTTCCACACAAACAACCTTCCTTCATTATTAAATATTAATCATTTGCATTCATTTCCAGACCTTTGCTGGAGTTGGTTATTTCTTTTTTTTTGGGGGGTGGGGGGGTGATGCTTTATTTGGTATTTCTGTTCTTTTTTAGGCTATATCAAATAAATTTTAAAATATTGATATGTTTAAGAAAATTGAAAGTGCTAGTCTGTAAACAAAAATAACACTATCAATTCTAAACTGATATGCCACAAATTCACTTAAAATCTAGGCAAAAATGAAAATAATCCTCCATTTTGTCCTATAATTTTTATGATTATAAAAGAGAAGAGTTAAAATATACTTAGTTTGAGAGTTGGATTGATATGTTAGAAAGCAATTCAAACATGGAACCATTATTTGTAATTATCAAAGGAGCGACAGAGTGCTAATTTGAAATTGAATTTGTTGCTTTTCCTTTAATGGCAAGTTTTAGACAGTGTAATATCTTGAAACTTCTTTTTCTTTGACATCTGTGATTCATTATTTATATTCTGATTTAACGAGCAGTTTGATAACATTTTTTAATGGTAATCCATATGTTATCTTTTCTTTCATTGCAGCCCCCTGGCCCCTGCTCTAGATGCTGTTGCTCCACTAAACAAGAAAACAGCCAAGAGTCTTCAAATACCTTGAAAAAAGAAAAGAGTGGGATATCCAAGATACCCAAAATATATTTTGGGACACGTACACACAAGCAGATTGCTCAGATTACTAGAGAGCTCTGGAAGACTGCATACTCAGGGGTACCAATGACTATTCTTTCCAGCAGGGATCATACTTGTGTCCACCCTGAAGTAGTAGGTAACTTCAATAGAAAAGAAAAGTGCATGGAATTGCTGGATGGAAAAAATGTGAGTAAAATTATTTTGTTTTAGAGGAAAAAATAAGGCTGATTAAGTTACCTTTTTCATGTATTCACTTTATGTTTTACAGGTACATTTCTAGTGCTATTAAATAACTTAAGAAAATAAAATTAATTGCTAGATTGACATTAAAAATAATTTTACTGTAAGAAAATTTGATTCAAGTTTAAAATTAAGGGTTTTGGTTCTAAAGCTTAGGATATTTAAATTCTTCAAATTCTTTTCAGTTTTAGTCAGGTGTCTTCTTATTTTCTTCTTTTTAAATCCCTCTACCAAATATGGTCAAACATGACTGATATCATATGAGGAGGTAAAGTGTTTAAGTGATTAAAAAAGTAGTGTTTAAGTGATTTCATCTAATTAAATTTAGTAATTTGCATATTTAAAACTTTAAAAGAACATAGTTTATTTAGGCATTCTCTTTGAGCAATTTAAACATTTTTTCAGATTTTTTAATTTTATATATTTTTTTACATCATTTTTCATTTTTGCACAATGTACGCATTTTCATCATGGTTATAGTCCCCATACAATTCCCACCCCCCTTGTTTTGATCCTACTTCCTTCTCTCCCCCACCACCATTGTGTCTCTGGTTTATAGTTGCTTGTTGTTTTTGATTTTTATTATAATTAGCTTTTTCCTAGTCCCTTAATTTAAACAATTTTTTAATTGAATGAGAAGTATAATGATTATCCTGTCATAATTCTGATTAACACAAGTTTCTCTTTCAAAAAAGTTATATAGTTATTAACTTTAAAGATATGACATTGGTGGTTTTAAAATTTTACAAAGAGATCTAGGATAATAAGAATTTGTGCTGGGTAGAAATAAAGAAATCCTTCTTATTAAGGACATGATTTTTTTAAATGATTTTGAACAGTATTAGCTTGGTAGTCTGTGTACTGGTTCAATAATTAGTTTACTCTAAAACTGAAGTTATACCAGAAATATTTGGTGAACCATAAATTGATTGTATATGAAATGACCAATAATATTTTAATATATTTTGAAAGTTGTTCTTTCAGTAGTGTTTTGTTAAACAGGGTTCATTCTATACAAAAGATTAAGAGCTATAGCCCTGAAATTTCACTTAATTGATCTATCACCTTCTACCTTCTACTATATACTGTGAATAAGTTATTTTATATTATGCTTTTCTTTCTCAGTGCTTTCTTTTATTAGATGGAAATTTATTCAAGCCTTATTTGGGAATATCCAAAAGATACTTAAATAGATATTCAAACATGAAACTATGAAGTATAACTATTAAAGGACTTCAATAAAAAAACTTAAGTGACTTGTTCAGAAGAAAGAAAATACAGAATTACTGAACTAAAGACATTATTGAAATTTTGTCATCATAGGTATTTCTGTTATAAGTTCTTTTAAACTGAGGACCTGTGAAATACCTTCATTCTGTATTTTTAAAAAGTTCTCTCCAAAGAGAGGCAAAAATATTTTAAAAAACTCAAATGCTTATTGTATAATTAAATAGGGAAAAATACCCTTCATGATAAAAAAAACACCATAAATTTTATACTTCAGTAAACTGCTTTCCATAAATAGCTATCTAATCTACTAAGTTCCTCAAATGCTTGAAATTTGATTTTTGACTATATAGTCAATATAAAAAAACTTGCCAACATTGTCATAACCTTTTTACTACTTGTTATCGGCAAAATTATTGTGTAATTATCTGTTTTCATAATCCCACTGGTGAATGCAATTGTAAAATTTAAGATTGTATATTGAAATCAAATAGTCTTTTATGTAAACTAGAATCCAGCTGTGCTGGTTTTGTTTTTTGATTGATCTTCAACTCTCAAAAGTTTGAATCATATAAAAATAAAACTAATACAGTAGGCTTGTTGAATGTTTAGAATTTCACATAGGCCGTTATTTTAGTTTTTGCTTTAAAGCAAACAAATAATTTTTAACATTAGCAATATAAATAATTGAAAATATCTGCTTGTGGTTGTTTGTCTTGAGCCAGTTCTGCCTCAGAATGCTTATTACCTCATGGGCATACGCAAACATTCTTTTTCTTGTTCTCAGTCCTGCAGGGTAATTTGGTATTGTAATGAGGGCCAATTACAAAGTCACCATAGGTGTCTATGTTTACTGTGGCTGAATTACCACAGAGAAATGATAAATAGATAACTGGCAGTTTGAGTGAAAAAGAGTTTAGAGTGTGATAAAGCTTCAATTGACAGACTCCCCGCAGGGTTGTATTACACTGCTAAAATGGATGCGCTTTTCTGGTTTTGCTATCAGCCTACATGGGAGTGTCATTTGAAGTGCCCTTAAAGTGTAAACTTTCTGATTTTTTGGCTTGATCCAAGGACACATGTGTTTTTGTTCACTCTTTCTTTTACTAAAGTGTTCCTATACTGGAAGAACATCGGTTATTTCTTAAAAGTTAATTTTTGTTCCAGTTAAGAAAAAATAATCTTAATTAGTTCTAGAAATAATTCTAAAAAATTAGGTATGGAAAATATCTGTTTTTTGTTAAGATGAGATTTAACAGTTCATCATCATAGACTTTTTTTTTTTTTAAAGATTTATTTATTTATTTATTTATTTATTTATTTATTTATTTATACAAGCACTGGGTACAGTCAGAAGCACGGGAGGGTGAGAGAATTCACCAGAGCCAGAGTGGGGAGCAGAGCAGGCAGAAAGACCGAAGTACACTGCTGAGGGGAGCAGCGGGCGGCAGGAGAGGTCTGCACCCATGTGGGACCCTCCTCCGGTGGCCGGGGAGCAGCCAGGGATTGAACGGGTGCTGCAGAGGCTGCGGGCAGCTTCGCAACCCGGCGCTCAACTGCTGCGCCACCGGGGAGGCCCATCATCATCATAGACTCTTAAGGCACCTTAATGATCATTTTGCACAAATACAAACTTTTAGAATGTATGGAAGGTACTTGGAATGACGGTATATTGAATGTCACATTCTAAAACTCAATCTGTATCAAACTCAGTATGAAAGGTACTTGGCATATTTGTTTTCTAGACCCCACAATCACAGAATTTTAGAACTGGAGGGAATCTTAGGTATGGTAGTCAGTGGGTTAGAGGATCTTAAAAGGTTTCTGGTTCAACTACCAGATGCCTAGTTGCATAAGAAATGGACCCTGAAATTTGCCCAATGTCAGAAAACTAATTAGCAAGAAAAGTGGAACCAAAACCCAAGTTTTTTTTTAATTGCAGGTCATTCTTTTAAATTAAATACATTATTTTAAATGCCATTTTGATAACAGAAACAAAAACGAAAGATAGCATTATGGCATAGGGAAGTTGTAGGAAGGAGTAGTAGAAATTTGACAATGCCATTTTGATAACAGAAACAAAAACGAAAGATAGCATTATGGCATAGGGAAGTTGTAGGAAGGAGTAGTAGAAATTTGACAAAGAAAGGAAAAATGATATAGAAAATCAACTAGATCAAGAACATATGACCATTTCTCCCCATTTTTTTTCTTTTAATATCTTGTGGGACCAACAAGTGGTTTCTGTTAGCATGACTGAATACAAAGCTTTAGGAGAACTAGTTGTCCTCAGCTGATCATGCCTTGTCCTTTGATTTGCTGACATTCTTTTATAGGTTATGAACTTTTTATGCTTAACTCCATTTCCAGCATTTTCTAGATAATTTTGTAATAGTAATTGATATATGTATCTTTGACAATGTAGGTTCTCTTTTGGATAATTCATAGAAAATACATTTATTAATACAGGATAGTTTCAATTTTTAATGACAACAAATTGGAAAGATAAATATTTAGATTTCAAAATCAAATCAATTTTTTATTGATACATAGAATTAATGAAGACAAAACTAGCACATTATCCCATGACTTAGTCCCAATGACAATTGAAAAAGAAAAGTAATAACATATATGTTATGGTTAGAAGATTCAAAATTACAAAAAGGGGGCCTCCCTGGTAGCGCAAGGGGTTAAGACACAACCTATGAAACTGTCCGCAGCCACTGCAGCACGAGTTTGATCCCCAGCCAGGGAGCTACCCACATGACGCAGCAGACCTCTCTTGACTCGCCCGCTACTCCCCTCAGCAGTGCATTTCGGTCATTCCTCCTGTTATGTTCCCCCCTCTGTCTCTAGTGAATCCTCTCACTCCTTGCACCTCTGACCTATATCCCAGTTCTTTGTGCATAAATGAATAAATCTTCTAAAAAAATTACAAAAAGACATAAAATGAAAAGAAAAGCTCTTTTTGTAGCTCCTTCCATCCTCTTAAGCCTTCAAGGAAACTACTGTAAAGTATTATTTGTCTTCCAAAACATTTAAAATGTATTTATTATAAAATATGTGTAGATATTCTTGTGTGTGTGTGTGTGTGTGTGTGTGTGTGTGTAATGGAAGAAAGGTTGTGGGTGGAATCTAGACTTTTTTTTTTAGATTTATTTTATTTATACAAGAGCTGGGGCACAGTCCTGAAGCGCGAGAGGGTGAGAGGACTCACCAGAGACAGAGAGGGGAACAGAACAGGCAGACTGACGAAATACACTGCTGAGGGGAGAAGTGGGCGAGACAGGAGAGGTCTGCTCGCCATGTGGGTTGCTCCGAGCCGGCGGGGATCGAACCCCCACTGCAGAGCCTGCGGACAGCTTCACAGCACTGTGCTCAACCACCTGCGCCACCAGGGAGGCCCTGTGCAGATATTCTTTTAAAACTTAAACATCAGCACATAGGCAATCTCATTTTTAAGGGTTATACCTTTTGTATGAATTTACCATAATTTATTTAACCTGTCCCCCGTTGGTAGATATTTGACTTCTTCCCGACTTTTTGACTGTTAAACAGTGCATTTTATGTGTATATAATATATGTACATATATTATGTAATATGTAAATGATACATAGATATGTAGTTATATATACAGAATTTTAAAGTTTGGTAGTTATTAACCAAATCTATTCCTACTAATAAAAGTAGAAGTTTGTGGGCCTCGCCTGGTGGCGCAGCAGTTGAGCGCTGGGCTGCGAGACTGCCCGCAGCCTCTGCAGTGCCAGTTCATTCCCCGGCTGCTGGTGAGTGTCCCACAAAAAAAAAAAAAAAAAGGTAGAAGTTTGTACTTCTACTAATAGTGTATATTTGTAGTTCTACCACTTTTATTTTATTTTATTTTTTAAAAAGATTCATTTATTTATGCATATAAGATCTGGGGTACGGGCCAGAGATGCTGGGGGTGAGAGGATTCACCAGAGACAGAGTGGGGAAACAAAACAGGAAAACTGACTGAAATACATTGCTGAGGGGAGCAGCGGGCGAGACAGGAGAGGTCTGCTTAGCCATGTGGGGTGCTCTTTGGCTGGCCGGGGATAGAGCTCCTGCTGCAGAGGCTGTGGATTGCTTCATAGTGTGGTGCTTAATCCCTTGCGCCACCAGGGAGGCCCCAATTCTACCAATTTTAGACATCTTTTAATAAAATGTGACATATCCTTGCAGGACTGGGTTTTATCAAACATCTTAATTTTTCATTAATATCTGTTAATAAACTTTTCACTTTCATTAATGAAATACATGGACATTAGAACATGAAAGAAAATGCAAATTGCCGTTGAAACTTGTTAAAATATTTGTACAATATAGTGCTAAGCTTTGCTATCAAGATTAGAATAAAATTCTATTTCTTACCTTTAGAATAGGAAAAGACAAGAAAAAATGATAATGTTGAAAGTGGTGCTTAAAAAGAGTAATAATTAAAATAATATATACTTTTTTAAAAAATTTATTTGTTTATGCATACAAGAGCTGGGATGCAAGCCAGAGGTGTGGGGGGGAGGTGAGAGGATTCACCAGAAAGAGAGAGTGTGAAGCAGAACAGGTGAATCTACTGAAATACACTGCTGAGGGGAGCATCTGACGAGACAGGAGGAGAGGTCTACTGCTCCATGTGGGTTAGTTCCTTGGCCGGGGATTACCCCGTAAAATAATATATACTTTCTGGAGGATAATTTGTTGGTATGGTTTTCAAGAGACTAAAAAATAGCTTATACTCTTATCCCATAATGTCATTTCTAAAATGAATATAAAGTATTTTATATGTGTGTTGATTTATAATGATAAATATAATTGAAGTTATTTATCATTATAAAGTCTATGTCATGTTATAATGCAGTGTTATAAGTCTATGTCATGTTATAATGCAGTGTTACTTCATGCCTAATTTTAATCATGATACTGGTTCACCCACTATGGTGTATTAATGTACATATATGGACGACAATGGAAACATTTAATGATGTGAGGAAATATTTCTGATAGGATTTTTAATAAAATAGGCTGACAGAAAAAAAGTGAACCGAGTTTTGTAAAAAGTATTTTTTGTGACTAGATTTTAAAATTCTCAATGTCTGGGGAAAATTGGCTTTGTTCTCACTTTTAATATTTGGTCACATTAAAGAAATACATTCATATACAGATATATAGAAGAAATATGAAATGAAATATATCAAAATGCTAGCAGTACATTCTTCAATGAAATTAAAGATAATGTCAGTCTTTTTGGGATATTTTCCAAATATTTTATAATGACTATTCTTATTTTGTCCCCTAGGAAAACATTCCCTTTTCTCCCTCCATTCTGCCTTCCCTTTGTTTCTTTGTACTTTTTAATATTTGATTAACTAATACAATGTCCCATGGCTTAAATTAAAAAGGCACAAAAGTGTCTAGAGAAAAATCTCTCCCACTCCTGTTCCCTACTCACTTACTTGTCATCTTTAAAGCCACCAGTGATATTATTACTCCTATGTATCTTCTGGAAATATTTTTGCCTATTATCATTTTTATCAGAACAAAGCCACAAAAACATAATTAAAAAATATTTTCCTTAAGTTAATTTGACATGTATGGAGCTCTGCTAATCTGAGTCAGCTAATAAAATTTCTATTTAAAATGATTGTGATTGTAGAAGTGGTGTCATCTGTCTCCTCTATAAAATCTTTGCCTTCTGGCAAAATTAAAATGTTCCTAACAGTCTGAGATAACTTGTTTTATTCCTTCTGTTCCAATATTGACTCACATTACAATTAATGCCTGTTTGTTTGTAGGGCAAATTCTGCTATTTTTATCATGGCGTTCATAAAATGAGTGATCAAAACACATTACAGACTCTCCACGGGATGAAGAAGGCTTGGGATATAGAAGAACTCATCAGTTTGGGGAAAAAACTAAAAGCATGTCCGTATTATACAGCACGAGAACTAATAAAAGATGCTGACATAATATTTTGTCCCTACAACTATCTTCTCGATGCACAAATAAGGGAAACTGTGAGTAGATATGTAACAATTAGCACAACTTTTTTCCTACAAATTGGGATATGAATGATGACTGTAAAAGTTTTTAGATGATTTAATGCCTTTTGCCTTATTTTTTGCTTTATGTTTACTGTATGTAAATGTATAAAAAGGTTAGAGTACTAAAAACATATTCTAAGGTGTATTAAAAAATGAATTTCAGGCTTTGTCATTTAAATTTCTAAAGTAACAAGTACTTTTAAGGACCTCATGTTGAAATGGGATTACAGTGGGGTTTTTTTAAAGATATATTTTTATTTATTTATGTATACAAGAACTGGGATGTAGGCCAGAGGTGTGGGGGGGGTGAGAATTCACCAGAGAGAGAGTAGGGAGCAGAACAGGTGGATCTACTGAAATACACTGCTGATGGGGAGCATTGGGTGAGACTGGAGAGGTCTGCTATACCATGTGGATTAGCTCCCTGGCTGGGGATCGAACTCATGTTGCAATGGATGGTAATTGCTTTATAGTGCTGAAACTTACCCCCTTGCGCCACCAGGGAGGCCCATATAGTGGGGTTTTTCAGCCTTGATAGTAATGGCATTTAGAACAAGATGATCTTGGTTGTGGTGGGTTGTCTTGTGCTCTGTAGAGTATGTAGCAGCTTGGTTTTGTCCACTAGATGCCACTAGTAGCCTTATAATCAAAAATGTATATAGTCATTGCCAAATGGCCCTTGGGGGACAAAATTATCCCCAACAGAGATCCATTTATAGCTATAAGCATTTTCATGTATAAATAGTCAGAAATAATTATTTGAAAACATTTATCTGAAGAACTTGTTTTGGAGAACTTATGTTGGGGGAATATGCAGTCTATGCAAATTATGCTTTGTTAGCGTTTGAGAAATGAACAGCGTTTGTGTTTATTTTTTGGTTCTTAGAGACTTGAAGTTGTTACAGCATAGCACAAAAAGTGAATAAAGTGGTATATTCAGTTGTTATTCCTCTCTTTTGAACTGACTGCACAACTCTAATTAACAATCTTTTTTTTTTAAGTTCAGATTAATAAGCATTATGCTTACTACCTTATTTGGTTTCCTCTTAGGTAGGTTTCCTCCCTCTGCATGATTTTATATATTAATGCCATGTCTTTATTCTGAATATTGCTCTTATTACATTTCTTCTTTGCTTAAAAGTATCTCATGCTCTCTTTGTTCAGGTTTAATCTAACATTCAAGACACCCACTTGTCTGTCTGAATTGGCCTTTTCAGTCTTTCCTGTTACACACTCCCTAATGTGAGCCCTTCACAAATTACATCATTGTCCCATAAGGATACCTTGTTCTTTCTTATATCTCTGCTTTGATGATGCTTCTGTTGAAAGTACCCTATTTTCTCTGTTTGCTCAAATCCTACTACTCTTAAATTCCAATGAATTTCCTATTCTTCAGTCCTCAGTATATTATTACTTCCTCATAATAATTCATTGGCAATTTCTTTGTGACATCTTGTATTAAAACTCTCTCCATTGAAGTACTCTCTCCATTGAAGTTGACACAAACCACTAGTTTCTTACGTTCTACCACAAAAGAGCTTAAGGGAAAAAACTGACTCTTCATTGTGATAGTTTCTTTGTGAGAGGCAAGGTTTTTCCTGTGGGAATAAGGATAACCATAACTAACTAGTTAGCCTGGAAAAAAAGAACATGATCTCATACTAGTTCTCCAAAATTACTCTGATTGGGCTGGCGGGTATCACATATCCATTCCTGAACCAGTCACAGTGACCACAGAGAGATGGAATAGTTTAATGTGGTAATCCTTGATTCTGAGCCTAGCCCTTGATAACAGTCCTACCAGCATCACGTGGGAGTTGGGGAAGAGCAATTCTCAAAACGAAGGGTTGAGAATTGAAGCGGATACACACTATATTATGTTAGTATTGTGAGGGTCTTTTGAGTCTCCTATTGTTATTTTAGCTTTAAAGGTTTTTCTTACTCTGCTTTTTAAATTATTTTGGAGAGTCCTTCATGCTAGTATTTTAATACCCCTTTGTATAGCCTGCCATACCTTGATTCTTGCTTAACAGAAATCACTTTAGTTGATAAATATGCAAAGTATTTTGAGAGTAAAAAAATGTCACTTTGTAATGTGTTGAGCTGATATTTGCTGGCCTTAGTGCTTCAAAAGTTTTATTTAACTTTTACAACCAGTTGCATTTATAATATGGGCCTACAGTGTGAACTTTAAATGAAGTATCTTGTCTACGGCTGTTGAATTCATTTTGCTGATCATTTTACAGGAAAATTCTTTTTTCTCATAGATGGATATCAATCTGAAAGAAGAGGTGGTCATCTTAGATGAGGCTCATAACATTGAAGATTGTGCTCGGGAATCAGCAAGTTACAGTATAACAGAAGTTCAGCTTTGGTTTGCTCGAGATGAACTAGATATTATGGTCAGCAATAATATAAGGAAGAAAGACCATGAACCCCTACGGGCTGTGTGCTATAGCCTCATTAAGTAAGAACATTTGTCTGTCAGTGTCATCTGTGTTGCCTTTGTATTAAAAACAAGTTTTATTATGTCAGTATTTTATATTATTTCAGTTAAATTATTTTTATTGTGGTAACTTTGGTTTACAACAGTGTATATGTTGTAGGTTTATAGGTTCACACCTTGTGAGATGTATGTCATCACACCACACCCACCAGCAGAACACCAATAATCCTCTACCTTAGTTCATTGGGCCCCTCCCTTTTTGTTCCCCATCCTCCACTCTCCTCCTTGGAGTAGCTTCAGTTTTGCAGTCAGACTTCAAGAGTTTTGTTTTGTCTGTTCCTTTGTTTTGTTTCTTTTCATTCCATAGATGAGTGAAACCATCCAACCATCCAGTATTTGTCTCTTCTGACTTATTTTGCTTGGCATAATCCTCTCCTACTCCATCTGTGTTTTTGCAAATGGCAAGATTTCATCCTTCATTATAGCTGAGTAGTATTCCATTGTGTATATATACCGCATCCTTATCCACTTATCTATTGCTGGGCACTTAGGTTGTTTCCATAATTTGATTATTGTAAATGGTGTTGCAGTGAATGTAGGAGTGCATGTATCCCTGCAAATTAATGTTTTTGCATTCTTTGGATACATACCGAGGAGTAAAACTGCTGGATAATGTGGTACATTTCTTTTTCATGTTTTGAGAAACCTCCATACTGCTTTCCACAGAGGCTGTATTTCCATCAACAGTGTAGGAGGGTTTCTTTTTCTTCGCATCCTCATCAAAACTTATTTCTGGTGTTTTTGATATGGGCCATTTTCAGAGGTGTGAGTTGGTATATCATGATTTTTATTTGTATTTCCCTAATAATAAGTGATGATGAGCTTTTTTGTGTGTCCCTCTTGGCCATCTGTAAGTCTTTGGAGAAGTGTTTGTTTAGTTTTTCTGTCAGATTATTTTTTAAAAGTTGGTAAACTTTGACCAGGCTACTTAGATTTTAATACTCTGATACTGGAGTTAGTAATTTTATTAAAGTCTACTTTAGATAATTTTTCTTTCATTAGATATTGAATCTCTTTATCTTAGGAGAAAAAAAAACCTTCTCCTAACTTTACAGCCTATTGTATTTATATACTTAACTGTTCTCTATATGCTATTCTTTAAAAACATTTTAAATAGTCACATGGTTTGAAATTTAATAAAAATTATACAAATTTATATTGTAAGAACTGCATTCCTATCCCATTCCCCATCAACTTAGTTCTTGTCATCCTGAAGAAGACTATCATTCAGTGAGTATTTGTGTATGTGAGTCACTAAAAATATTTAAGTAAAACCATCACTATAATTTATGCCATAAACATACCTGTCACTTCTGGAAGTTTCCTTCTGCTGTTTATGATTTTTTTTTTTTTTTTTAATACAAGCACTGGGTACAGTCAGAAGCGCGGGAGGGTGAGAGAATTCACCAGAGCCAGAGTGGGGAGCAGAACAGGCAGACGGACGAAATACACTGCTGAGGGGAGTAGCCGGCGCGCACGGTCTGTCGCGCCATGTGGGACCCTCGCCCGTGGCTGGTGTTGCAGAGGCTGCGGGCAGCCTCGCAGCCCAACGCTCAACTGCTGCGCCACCAGGGGAGGCCCCATGATTATTTTTTTTGTAATAAGAATACTTGTAAGATCTACCCTCTTGGCAATTTTTTAAGTATGCAATGCAGTATTGTTTAACTACACATAGTCTATCTTATACATCTGTTTCCTGTATTGTGCTTTTGACACTTAATAGTAGACATCTTCCTATAGCAATACTTAGAAATCTTTTTAAATTTTAAAATATATTTGCTTACAATTCCATTGGGTAGATGTACAATAATTTATTTAACCAACCTCTGATTAATAGATATTGAGGTTGTTATAAACCTTTATTACATCAACTGTACTTTATATCATTTGGATATCATTCAACTTTCCCAAACAAAACTCCTTCCCTTCCCTAACCTACTCCTATTACCATCCCTGTCTTCCCTATCTAAGTTAATAGTACAAACCAGTTTCATAAATCAAAAATCAAAGTATTTCCCTTGACCACCGCTTCACTTCATACAGTTCATCAGTGCCATCTGCACAACATATTATAAATCCTTCATTCTCGTCTATCATACAAGAGTCATTTCTCAACTAGAATACTGTAACAACTTCCTAACAGGTATCTGCTTTCACACTTGCCATTTTCCTATAGTCCATTTTAGCTTAGAACCTAGAATCATCTTTTAAACTCTTGAAAGAGGGCCTACCCTGGTGGCGCAGCGGTTGAGCGCTGGGCTGTGAGGCTGCCCGCTGCCTCTGCAGTGCCGATTCGTTCCCCGGCCACCGGCGAGGGTCCCACAAAAAAAAAAAAAAAAAAAAAAAAAAACAACAGAAAAAAAACTCTTGAAAGAGTCTCTCTTATTTATTTAAAATCCTCCACTTAAAACCTTCCCATTGTACTTTGAATAGAATCTGAGTTTCTCAGCATGGCTCAGTACAATATGATTCCTCTTTGTTACTCTAATATTCATGCAACTATTGTTTTTGCTCATTATTTGTAGTCATATTGAGTTATGTTCAGTTTCTTAAACAAGCAAAGTTTGTTAATCATCTCAGGATTTTTGCACTACTTCTTCTGCTTGAAATACCTTTTTCCTTGCAAATGGCCAACAGGCATATGAAAAAATGTTCAACATCACTTGTAATCAGGGAAATGCAAATCAAAACTACAATGAGATACCATCTTACACCAGTGAGAATGGCACATATTAAAAAAACTAGCAACAACAAATGTTGGTGAGGTTGTAGAGAAAAAGGAACTCTTCTGCACTGCTGGTGGGAGTGCAAAGTGGTCCAATCACTATGGAGAGCTGTGTGGAGATTTCTGGACCTACTAAACATAGAGCTTCCATATGATCCAGCAATTCCACTCCTAGGTATTTACCCAAATGACACAGAAACATTAATTCCAAAGGACACCTGCACGCCTATGTTTATAGCAGCACTATTTACAATAGCTAAGCTATGGAAACAACCCAAATGCCCAAAAATAGATGACTGGGTCAAGAAGATGTGGTACATATACACCATAGAATATTACTCAGCAATCAAAAAAGATAAACACATGCAGTTTGCAGCAACATGGATGGAGCTGGAAGGGATAATGCTCAGCGAAATAAGTCAGAAAGAAGAAAAATACTGGATGGTCTCACTCATAGCAGGAATTTAGAAAACTTGAAAAAGAGACCAGGAAAAAGACTAATCAATACAAAGTAAAAATCAAAATCAACAAGCAACTAAAAACCAGAGACACTACAGGGTGGGGGTGGGGGGAGGGGCGGGGAAAGGAAAGACTAGAGTCAAAATAAGGGGAGGGTGCAGTTGTGTGGGGAATATAACCATAATGAAAATGCATACATTGTGCAACGATGAAAAATGATGTAAGAATTATATAAAATAAAATATTTTTTAAAAATACCTCTTTCCTGATACTCTCAAAAGTGAGCACGTTTTGCATTCAAATGTTAAAATAAATGTCACCTCAGGGAGATTTTCCTTGACATTCAAATTAAAGTCACAATTATATAACAGTAACCTAATTTATTTCTTTATCTCAGTTATTACTATCTGGTATTTTCTTGTTCGTGTATTTGTTTCTAAGTTTATTTCTTTCTTTAGTGGAACATAATTTCATGAGAATAAGAACCTTGTCTATTTTATTACTGCTGTATTTTTACTACCAGTATAATATCTGATATAATATAGGCATTTAAGCACTTATTTATTGTATAGTTGCGTGTATTAATGAATATACTTATGTATTTTTAGTAATCCCCATTGTGTTAATATATAACACTCTAATTTCTTTATAGGTTCTTTTGTATTGCCTTTTTGTGTATTTGAGACAAGCCTCTAGACCTGGCTCTTAGTTGAAATGACATTAATCAAGTAAAATAGTGTGAATCCATAAAACACAATTATGATATCACATATCTCTTTCTCTTTTCTGAATAAAAACTTGCTTTGGCTATAAAATGTTTATTTTGCAATATGACACATGAATGCCTTAAAAAAGATGTATGTGATATCATAATTGTGTTTTCATGCCTTAAGAACTTTAAGGAATACATATCAATGTGTCTCAATCATCTTTGAATTGTGAAATAGTGTTTATAAGGATGGTACTGGTTGATGGAATTGTTTTAATTTATTCCAGTTGGTTGGAAGCAAATTCTAAACATCTTGTAGAAAGAGCTTATGAATCATCCTGTAAAATATGGAGTGGAAGTGAAATGCTCATAAATTTACATGGAATGGGCATCACTACTGCTACTTTTCCCATTTTGCAGGTAAGATTCTTTTTCACCTAAGAAATTCATTTAAGCTAAGCTTTGGAAACAGCCCAAATACCCAAAAATAGATGACTGGATCAAGAAGATGTGGTACATATACACCATGGAATATTACTCAGCATTCAAAAAAGATAAACACATGCAATTTGCAGCAACATGGATGGTGCTGGAAGGGATCATGCTCAGCGAAATAAGCCAAAAAGAAAAGAAAAATACCGGATGGTCTCACGCATAGCAGGAATCTAGAAAACTTAAATAAGGGACCAGGAAAATGAATAACTATAAGAAAGTGAAAATCAAAATCAACAAAAAACTATGAACCAGAGACACTTTTTAGGGGGTGGGGGGTGGGAGGGGAGGGATTGGGGTCAGAATGGGGGTTTGCAATTGTATGGGGGAATATAAAAATAAAATTTATTATTTAAAAAAAAAGAAATTCATTTAATGAGTTAGAAAGATATAATTGTGAGTAAGTTAATTCAGAGTAAAATATAGTTTAATTGTTCTAATTTTGTTATCTATAAGTGATAGTATAAATTTTGGGTAAAAATTAGCATTTTTAAAAAGTTCGAAGGACATGAGGCTTAAAGGAATTAACTGCTTTGTTCAAAGATTAAGTCAGCATTTTTATGCTATAAATTTAATTTTTCAATTATAGAAGTTAAAAATTTGGAAAATAGAAGTATAAGAAATTCTATTTCTTCTTAACTTACAGTTATAAACCTGGGTGTTTAGAAATAATGAGTGGACTGTGGAATACTACTAGCCATATGAAATTGTGTGCAAAATTTTATGAGGATGTACTTTTGTACATTTTTCTGGATAGAGGTTTCACGACCTTCATATATTTAAAGAATTGGTTATTTTTTTACAAATAGGAATGATTTTCTTTTGTTCTTAATTACTATTTATTTAAATTATTAAATTTTTTTAGAGTGCTTATTTTAGGTTTACAGAAAAATTGAGTAGAAAAGACAAAATTCTAATATACCCCTAGTAAAGCACAGAAGCATCTATACATACATACTCTACAATTTCTCCTATTATTAGCATCTTGCAGTAGTGTAGTACACTGTTCTTATTGAGAAACCAATATTGTTACATTATTGTTAACTAAAGTATATAGTTTACACTAGGGTTCTCTCTGTATTATACAGTTCCATGTTGAAAAAAGCATAAAATCATATCTACCACTGTAGTATCCTACAGAATACTCCACTGCCTTAAAAACCTTATGCACTGTGCTTATTCATCCCTTCACCACAGCTCATTTCCCTTGCCAAACACCAGGTAACCTCTGATTTTTCATTGACATTTATATTAAAATGTCTTATAGGGACATTTATCTGCTGTTCTTCAAAAAGAAGAAAAAGTCTTACCGATTCATGGTAGAGGGGAGTCAAGAGAAGTACCTATTATTAGTGCTTCCACTCAAATAATGCTTAAAGGACTTTTTATGGTGCTTGACTATCTTTTTAGGCAAAATAGCAGGTAAGTGAAGGTCTGATCTAATCTGTATGTTTCCTCTTTAGAATATTAACCATTTTGGGTGCTAGCATACTGTTTGAGTGAACAGAATTATAAACAAGTGGTGTAAATAGTGATTTCATTGGCATAGACTCAGATAAACTGAGATAAATCTATATTAATGAAATTGAGTATTGAAATTAGTAAATAAATATACTTAATTAATTCAGCATTAAATTTATAGTCTCCAGCACTAAAGCATTTAAGTTTTCTTTTAACTATGTTTCAGATATGTTTCTTACGGTGTTAAAAGTTTTCTTTATTACTGTGTAAGTCTCTGTTCAGTAAAATGTGATCCCCAGCCAGGGAGGGGACCCACATGGCTCAGCAGACCTCTCCCCACAGCAGGGTATCATTGTAGCTTCCACTACATACAAAATTGCTTCCATCATTACCAAATCCATTGTAGTCATCCCACTACCACCAAAGCCACCTTTACCACTGAAGTTTTCTCCATGACCAAAGTTGTCATTCCCATCAAAACAACCTCCACAACTACCACCAGAGTTTCCAGAACCACTTTGACCTCTTTGGCTGGATGAAATACTGGCTATCTCCTGCTTAGATAGGGCTTTTCCTTCCTTCGCAGTTGTGGCCATTCACAGTATGGTATTTCTGAATGACAATCTTTTCTACAGAATCATGGTCATCAAAGATTACAAAAGCCTTTCTTCCTGCCACTACATTGATCAGTCATGATTTCAGTTACTTCAGTTTTCTGCTGCTCAAAGTAATCTCTTAGAGGACGTTCTTCTGTGTCTTCCTTAATGTCACCAACAAAAATCTTTTTCACAGTTAAGTGGGTACCATGTCTTGGAGAATCTTCTCTACTTTTTCATTTAATGAAAACATATAATCTGCTTTTTAGTTTCTTTAGCAGTAATAATATTATCTATTTTATAACTAATGATGTAATAGAATACAAAGAACTCTGGGCTAGATATTAGGAGACCTGGATTTAATTTTAGCTCCTCAGTGATTAATATATTGTTTGAACATAGGGATGGGAAGTGGGTAGTAAGGGGTGGATGATAATATGATATCTAACATTCTCTTAAGAGTGAGTTGATTGTATAATTAGCTTATTTTTTAAATCAGAATTTCTGAATTTAATTAGTAATGTGGGTTGGTGGGGAGAATGTTATCTTTGCTTGGAAAGATACCAGTACTCTCAGTTTAATTTAACAAAATTAGTTTTATATTGTATGGGCATGTTTTACAAAGTTTGGTATTTAATTGGCATTTTATTTTCATCTAGATTTGCAGATGATTATAGAATTGCTATTCAACAGACTTACTCTTGGATAAATCAGCCTGATATCTCAGATAAAAATGGATTGATGGTGCTACCAAAATCTAAAAAACGTTTACGACAAAAAACTGCAGTTCATGTGCTAAACTTTTGGTGCTTAAATCCAGCTGTGGTAAGCTTATTATGTTGTCAGTGAAAATTGTACCTTTTGCTTAATACAACAATTAAATAAATGTGTTTGACTCTGTTAAAGATGATTATAAAAATCTAATGTTCCTTTTTAGGCTTTTTCAGATATTAATGGCAAAGTTCGAACAATTGTTTTAACATCTGGCACATTATCACCAATGAAATCCTTTTCCTCAGAACTTGGAGTTACATTTACTATCCAGCTGGAGGCTAATCATGTTGTTGATAACTCACAGGTTAGTGTCCTTTTTTTTGAAAGCTTCAGTCTTTCTACCTCAATATAATTCTATATGAACAAATTAGAAGTTATTGGAGGGGCCAGCAAACAGATTATGATAGAAAATACAACATTTTAATTTTAGAGTAAATGAAAATCTTTAGAGTAAAAGAATATCCTTCAGCCCAGTGGGTAAAAATATAATTTTGGATACAAAGTCTTTATGCAGTTTCCTCATTTTGAATAGACTTCAATTTTTTAATGAAAATCAAAACAAAAATTTGACGTGTTTACAATAATCTTGATTGTATAGTATAGTTAATTGTTTTTTGTGTTTCTCTTTTCCATTAGATTGTTGTATATCCTTACTCTTCTTTTTAGATCCCCATTCTACCACTGCATCTGAATTAATACGTGGCGTTAGTTATTAAGTGTTCAGTACATGTTTAAATACCAGAAATGAAATAAAAAGTATATTTATGAGTCCTATGACTTAAGATTTTAATTTTTTATAGCAATACCATATAAAAGTTATTTTAATTTTCCTAGGAGCATTTGACTTGGCTTTTCTCATCTGCCATATTTCTTTTTTGAAGTAATTTAATGTGGTTACCCACATGCTTAATACCAACTGTATGTCTAACACAGTTCTCATTCTTTATAAAGCTGTCATTTTCAACCAAAGGGGATATTTTTTTAAATATGTGGGGATATTTTTTTAAAAATATTTTTATTGCATTAATCCTGGTTTACATTGTTGTTTCCATAACAGAAATGTAGGCTCTCCCCTTGCTGTATTGTACCCACCACCAAGGAACTCCCCATAGTCTACCACCATAGACCTTTGTATTTGTGCTTCCTCCTTTCTTCGTTCTTTTTCCTCCAGTGGAGATACTTTTGGTTGTCACAATTAATTTGGAGGAAAAACTTCCATTTAGTAAATGGGGCTTAGAATGCTGAACTATATAATAAAGAATTGTCCTTTTCAAAATGCCAGGGTGCTCCTACTAAGAAACATTGTGAAGGAAAAAATATTAACACAGATGTAAAACAATGGTACTTCTTTAATAAAAAAAAAGAAAGAAAGAAAAAATAGTGAAGGAAAAATATGTTCAACATTTTCAAGTTGCTTTCTTTAACAACTCAAGTAAATATTGGAAGTTATTAGGGCCTCCCCTGGTGGCTCAGCAGTTGAGCGCTGGCCTGCGAAGCTGCCTGTAGCCTCTGCAGCGCCGGTTCGATCCCCAGCCACCGGCGAGGGTCCCACATGGCACAACAGACCTCTCCTGTCGCGCCTGCTGCTTCCCTCAGCAATGTGTTTTGTCAGTCTGCCTGTTCTGTTCCCAGCTCTGGTTCTGGTGAATTCTCTCACCCTCCCACGCTTCTGACTGTACCCAGTGCTTGTATAAATAAATAAATAAGGGGCCTCCCCGGTGGCGCAGCGGTTGAGCGCTGGGTTGCGAAGCTGCCCGCGGCCTCTGCAGCGCCGGTTCGATCCCCGGCTGCTCCCCGGCCACCACAGGAGGGTCCCACATGGCGCGCAGACCTATCCTGCCGCCCGCTGCTCCCCTCAGCAGTGTACTTCGGTCCTTCTGCCTGCTCTGCTCCCCGCTCTGGCTCTGGTGAATTCTCTCACCCTCCCGCGCTTCTGACTGTACCCAGTGCATGTATAAACAAAACAAACAAACAAATAAATAAATAAATAAAGCATGCCTCTATAAAAAATAAATAAATAAATAAATAAATCTTTAAAAAAAATTGGAAGTTATTAGTAAGTTCAGCAAATATTTCTCATAAGGATGTTAATGTAGACTGTTGTCAGTCTAGTATACAGAAACTCATTTAATATGTAATATAACTGAATTATAATACTAATGCTAGTTGTTCCGCTGAATTCCATTATATCCCTCAACTTTAAAAAAAATGTTCTATTACACATAATATAAAAGTTATCATTTCTAAAAAATTTATTCATATAAGAACTGGGGTATAGGCCAGAGGTGTGGAGGTGAGAGGATTCATCAGAGACAGAGTAGGGAGCAGAACAGGCGGATCTACTGAAATACACTGCTGAGGGGAGCAGCGGGCGAGATAGGAGAGGTCTGCTGCGCCATGTGGGTTGCGCTCTGGCTGGCCAGGTATCGAACTTGTGCTGTCGAGGCTGTGGATTTCTTCATAGTGTGATGCTTAACCCCCTGCGCCACCAGTGAGGCCCCTGTTTAGCTTGAATTTTATCATGAAGAAGCAAACTGACAAATCCAGGTTATAAGATATTCTCCAAGAAAACCAGTAACACAAATTCTTAAAAAACAGGGGAAAAAAGGAAAGAGAACTGTTTTGAAGACTAAAGAGATGTAAAAAACCAAATGTAACATATACCATTTGATTGGGATCTGATCAAGAATAAGAAAAATAAACAAGTATAAACGATATTTGGGGAGGGGTCTCCCTGGTGGTGCAGCGGGTTGAGCACAGCGCTGTGAGCTGTCCACAGCCTCTGCAGTGATTCCTGGCTGGCCAAGGAGATTTCCACATGGCGTGGCAGACCTCTCCTGTCGTGCCCACTGCTCCCCTCAGCAGTGCTCTCGGTCTGTCTGCCTGTTCTGCTCCCGACTCTGTCTCTGGTGAATCCTCTCACCCTCCAGCACCTCTGGCCTGTAACCCAGCTATTGTATAAATTAAAAAAAAAAAGGTATTTGGGGAATAATTTGGCACATATAAGTATTGACTCCATTGTATCACTACTAGATTTCTTGGGTGTGATCATAGTATTGTGGTTATGTAGGCTTATCTACTTGTTCTTAGGAGAGACATGCTAAACTAAACTAATAAAGAGTTATGATGTCTACAAATTACTTTCTAATAATTTATCCCCAAATCACATATATACATATGTAACATAATTAACATTTTGCAACATTTTTCTTTTTTCACTTTCTCTCCTGTAATATATATATACTACAAATATATACATATTACAAAATGTTAACTGATGAATCTAGGTGATGGGCATAAAGATGTTGACTATATTAATATTTTTTCAATTTTTCTGAAATTTATAATTTTTTTTAAAATAGGGTAAATCAACAAATGAATGCAAAATATACCTCGATCTCATTTTTCAATAATCTGAAGTGTTTGTATTGTCTTTAAACTACTAATAAAGATTGTTCTTTTTTGGTCAAATGTACTACCCTATGCTAAATGAATGTAGCAGAATTGCAAATAACTGAAAAATTTGGTGGGTTTAATTTTCTATGACTGTCTATCTTTGACTACTCATGAATTTAGATCCTATCGTAATTGAGTCTTAAAGACTTTCCTGTCTGCAGCATCTCATAGAAGACCTTGCTTCTAATATTTTAGAATCATTTCTGATTTATTCATTTCATTTGTTCACATCATCCAACACAATTTTGTTACATGCTTAGTTTTGCAAAGCTGTTGAGAAAATAGAGGTGTAAAATCCTATTTGCTTTCAAAAAACTTACAACCTAGAATTCAGTGCTTTGCCTAAAGTAAAACTTTCAGAAGTCAAATCTATCAGTAATTAAAGGTAATAGAACGAAACCCCAATAATTTAAAAATAAATTTTCTCTAAACTTGTTGCTTCATATTCTTTTGACATATAAGTAATTAAGGTTCCCAACTAAATGCTAATTTGTCTGTTTGGTTTAGTCATAACTCTCATACTGACATATTTATATTCTAGGTTTGGGTTGGCACCATTGGGTCAGGCCCCAAGGGACGGAATCTCTGTGCTACCTTTCAACACACAGAAACATTTGAGTTTCAGGATGAAGTGGGAGCACTTTTATTATCTGTGTGCCAGACTGTGAGCCAAGGAATTCTGTGTTTCTTGCCATCTTACAAGGTAAGGGAATATTTATTATTTCTTTTGGCTTTAAAGAAGCATGTGGGATTATCATGATAAACTTCCTAGGATCAGGAGAACAGGAGAATTATAGTTTTTTAAATATCATGTATTGTTCTACTTATTAAGATACTGTATGATTGTTTTATCACTGTTTTACTTGGAAGTCTGAAAGACTAAAAGTCGTCAAGCAGTGTTAGTTCTATAAAAGGACAATTTATATATCCTTAATTTTTATTCTTAGGGCAGCTTGATATTTTCATAGTTCAGGAAAAGCATTTTTTTCACTTAATATATTATGCTTTTGGATGTTTCTATAGTGTGACTCTAAAGTCACATCTATTTAACATTGTGGGGATTATGTCCCCTAAAAACCCTTGATTCATCACTTAAAATAAGGCAAATCTATAATCTGTAGATGTTTCAAATGCCCAAAAGAGAGAAAAGGTAAATATTTTAAATGGAACAGTATGGTTTCTCTTCAGATTCACTATAGTTTAAAAGTGAGAAACATCAAACTAGTAGCATTGCAAGCAAAATTCTTAATATACAGACTTCATATTAAATAATACATATAAAAAATATAGATAGAGGTTATAATGAAAAAATTACAACTGAGATTGAACGTTTACATTTTCTTCTTTCTCTGACATTCAGTGGTAAATGGAAATGTTCCCTCAGGGAAAATGGCTTATGCATTTTACTCATAAAGATGTAAAAGAAAATCAGAATCTGCAGTATACAAATAAAGAGATCTAAGTTGCAACTTTGGCACCACTGAGTCTCATTCAAAATGACTTAATAGAAACATTTCTATCCATCACAAGAGTTTAGAAAGCCTTTTATCCATAAAAATAACCTCTGAGTTTCAAAGCAGTGGTGCCACTAGTTAAATGACGATAGAATCAAAATCAAATTTATCTTAGTGGAGAAATGGTATTCTTCACAAAACTATTACAACTTCTAGTAATTTGAGAAGAATCTGCAACAGGTTTTTGCACAGTCCTTTGCATATAATATACATTTAGTATTTCCTTAAAGATTAAGTAAATAAAAATTATTTTTATTTGTAGTACTTAACCCCATTGTATTTAAGCATTTTTCTTTCAAAACTTTTCCTCTAGTTTGTGAAGTGGTATTTTTCCAGAGCATCTCACCTTCAAGTTTCACAGCAACAGGTTTACAAATTTAGGTTGACAATATGAGAAAGTACTAACTTCTAGGAAATATTTGGTGGTTGCTTCTTCCTCATTTTCTTCTCTAAGCCTAGATTCGACTTTGTTTCTAATAATGCGGGTTCATTGAGTTCATTAGAGTTTTACTTTAATTATTCGTCTTTTAACAGAGGGATAGAAAATGTGTTTCTTTTCTCCCCTACATTTAGTCAACTCAATAAGGAGGAAAACCTCTAGATGAATTTGTGTGAATAAATTCATTCAGATACACTAAGTCAATATTTTTTCACTTTAAGGTGGTTTCTTCAGAAATTCATGAACTAACCAACAAATTCAGAATTTATATTTTAGAGAGATAAGAATTTATTCCATATGTAAATAGCTATTGTATTCTTACTATTTTCTTTTCAAAAGATTTCAACAAAGTGGATTATCAGGAAAAAGCGAATGGGTTTATTTTTCAAATTCTGTTTTATTTGACAATTTTTACATTGTAAGTATTATTATGTGTTTTTATCAGATGTATCAATAAACAATTCTGTAAATACATATGCCAGTGTCAGTGGTATACCTCTAATATTTCCAGATCCTCAATCTTTTAAGGCTCCTGTGAGAGGGAATACTCCATTTCAGAGAGGACTGTAGGAGCTTTCATTTCTGTTTAGATGATCAACAACTACAAGGGATCTTATTTTCACCTCAGAACAGGTTTTCTCCATATTATACTTTCCTAGTTCTTTTGCTGACTACATCTATATTTGTTGACCATTTGATTTTGAACTATAACCCAGCCTTCTACAGTGAAGATACTGAATTAGATATCACCAATAGCTAGAATATAGGAAGTTGTTTCACTAGAAATTAATATTTTTGTTTTTTTCATATTCTATATTTGAATACAGCAATCAATGATTTAGGATGTACCCATTTTTACTGTAATTTTGAAAGCTGTGAAACACTGCTACTTTATTTTTCACTTTTACTACTAGTTAAAAATGACTGCATTTTATTCCTAATATTCCACCTGTAGGTAAATATCAATTGAATAAAAGAAACTAAACATTTCTTAAATATTAATACCTCATGAAATGAATAGTGAAGAATCATCTTCAGATGGAAAAATACAATAGGTTTTACCTATGAAATAAATTATGTGGCTAAGATGACAAAAGATGGTAGTCTGTTTAGGCAGCCCTATTAAAAGCATTAAGACTTGAGTACTGGCTATTAAAATGAGTAAATGGCAATATTATAAAGTTAAACACATGCCAAAAAACATTTTCCAGAGGACTAGGATTGTAACAATACCATTAATGAGGGCAAAGAGGTCTTAATGCAATTTGCACTTTCTAAAGTTTCAAAAAGAGGCTTTGAGTTAGTGCATTATTAATGTATTGAACATCTGGAACTGTGTAAAAGCTATAGACATTGAGCAAATGCAGGATTTCCCTGCTACGTTACATTCTAACTTATTGCCTCCCTAGTGAGATACTGGTTTTAAGAATTTTGAAAAAGTAAAATGACAATATCCAGATAAGGCATAAGCACTCCAGAGTGTCTTTTAATTTGTGCGATTTAACTCAAAAATAAAAATGTCTCAAAGGTTACCAAATCCAAGTGATGTGAATACCAATTAGTAAATTAAATCATCCAAAGCACTATATGTGGGCTAGTCTTTGTATTTGAATGGTATTTCTTTATGAGCTAAGTAAACTATTTTATAACAGAAATATCTCACATTTCTCAAATATCTAAGTCTTAAAACCTGAGAGTTGGCTCTATGTCAATGTACTTAAAAGTTATCTGATTTTTAGTTGCCTAGTTAGGATACTTAAAAGAATTTAAAAATCAATTGAGTTGTGAGTATATTTAGCATTTGTACAATTTCTCTGATGGGGAAATGATTAAGATTTATAAATGTACAATTTGAGTGTCACCTGCAGTGAGAATGGGAAGGATGTAGACCTAAATATTCTGTTATCTCAAACTGAAAATTTACCACTTTTTCCAAAATAGAATGTATGTTTTTGCTGTAGAAGAATGTGCCAACTTTGCATGTAGGTCCTGTGTAATCTTTGAGGAAGGCTTTTAAGGTACTTAAAAAACAAAGAACAACTCCACTGAAGATTAAAGTTAACACATTGTATTCTCTGTAAGTGTTGTTTTATCACCTCCAAATTCCCACCTTTTCAGTGTTCCCTGTAACTCCTTACCTGAACTACAAGGAGCCAAAAGATGTCATTTCCTGTCATCTCTTTCATGTTATGACTGTTTTTTCTCTTACTTCTGTAGTACCTACGATGTGGTTAATCTGTTAATCTCCACTGCTCTTCTAAACCTTTACTGCTCCATTTTTTTCTGAAGAAAGGAAGGGAAGAAAGAGAGAAATGAGAGGAGAGGAAGAAGGAAAGAAGCAGAGAGAGAAAAGAAAGAAAAACTCAACAACAAAGTCTAGTCCCTGAGTCCATGTCTTTTAATTATATCATCTTTACCCCACATCTTACGAATCACCTGAATATTCTTTTTATTAAGGGCTCTGCAACTTGCTTTTATAGTTTTCTCCTTCTTGCTCCTCTCTTTGCCTTCCATTATTTTGGGCCCTCCTTGTTTATTCATTTATGACATTCATTCAGTACGTGTTTATTGAGTACTTTCTATGTGTCAGGTACCATTCTAAGTAGTGGACAAGCTACAGTAAACAAAAGTAACAAAAATCATTGTCCTGTTTCTGAAGGTTGTGTTCTGGAGTTGAGATACAGAAAATAAACTAGTAGACCCATAAAGATATTAATATATTAGATGCTATCATGAAATGAAATAGTTGCATCCCCCCAAATTCATATGTTGAAGCCCAAACCCCTAGGTGTGACTATATGTGGAGTTGGGATATCTAAGGAAGTAATTAAGGTTAAATGAGGCCATAAGGGTAGGGTCTTGATCTAATAAGATTAGTGTCCTTATAAGAAAAGATGCCAGAGATTTAATTTTATCTCTCACTACTTGAGCAAGGAGGAAAGAAGTGTGAGGACTCAGGAAGAAGGTGGCTATCTACAAAGTAGGAAGATTGCTCACTGGGAATGGAATCAGCCAGGACCTTTATCCTTGGGTCTCCTAACATTCAGAACTGTGAGAAATAAATTTCTGTTGTTTAAGTCACCCTGTCTGTTTTATTGAGATATATTTCCCAGTTTTATTGAGAAATTATTGATATATAATATGCAGAAGTTTAAGGTATGCAATGTGATGATTTAATACACGTATATATTGAGAAATGATTATGTGGTCTTTTTTTACGGTGGCCTGAGTGAACTAGTATGGATAATGGTAAGTGCTATATGGACAAATAAAGCAAAATAGAGGGAAATGAAAATTCTAGGGAATGAGCAGGGATGGTTTAGAATTTTTATTAGATGGTTCTGGAAGGCCTGTCAGAGAAGGTGACATTGAATAAAGTCCTAAATGGATGGAAGTATACCTTTCTGATCTGGAGGAAGAGAGAGCCTGGTTTGTTTGAGCAATAAGAAGACTATTGTGCCTAAGCAGAGTAAGGGTCACATGGGGGAATAGTAGGATATGCGGTCAGAGAAGTAGTTGGGAAAAAAATCATGGCATAGTAGGGAGCCATTGGAGGCATCAGACTTGATTTTGAAAGGATTGTGTTGGCTGGCATATGGAAAATGGACTGTAGAGAGCCTGGGAAGAAGCAAGGTTACTGCTGTAATAACTGAGGAGAGATGGTGGTGGCTTGGACCACCTTGGTGGCAGTATTTGGAGTCTAGATATAATTTGAAAACAGGGTTTGCTGATGGATTGATTGCCTGTGAG